CCCAGCGGGGATCTGTCTGACTGAGCCACGGCCCGCCGCCCCACCTCACCCCTCCCCGCTCAGTGCCCCTCCCCAGCCGTGCTGGTACATAAACAGTTCTGGCCACCTGCGCCCAGACCGTGCGTCCTGATTTGGAAGTCAGGGAAGACAGAGCGTTCCTTCGGGACAACCAAGTGCCCCAGTTTGCTGGGAGCAGAGTGTCTGGGCTGTGGAACTTCCCGTGGGAAGCCAGGGAGGGCTAAGTGGTGGTGCAGTAGTCCAGGCAGCTGGATCCCACTTGGCCAGCTGCATGGTTTGAGTCCCAGCTGGCGGCCGTGTCTGTGTGTGTGCCCAAAATTCCAAAAGGGAGAGATGGAGGAGAAGGGGTGGCAGTGTGACCCACGGGGGTGCTTGCTTTCCTTCTCTCCCTCTCTCTCTCCCTCTCTCTCCCTCCCTCTCTCTCTCCAGCAAGTGCACATACCCTCTGGCAAAATAAAAAACACAAAACTGAGAAAGTCCCAGGTAACCTCAGACTGTTGCCCCCCTTAGTGGGTTCTCAACCTGGCTGTTCTTACCATCACCTTGGGAGTTTAAAAAAAATATTGACCAAAAGATACATGTGAAAATGAACTTAATGGGCCGGTTCTGTGGCCTGCTGGATAAAACAGCTGGATCCCACATGGCCGATCATGCAGTTCAAGTCCCAGACCCAGCAGTTGAGAAGCACGCCAGGTACATGTGTGTGCACGCCCAAAGTCCTAAGGAAGGGAGAGATGGAGGAGAAGGGATTGCAGTGGGACCTTTCCTGTGGCAGGTGCTTCCCTCCTCTCTCTCTCTCTGTGGCAAGTAGCACACACACAAAAAAAGTTTGATGTGGGACCAGCAGGTGGTGTAATGGTTGCGTTGCTGGATTCCCACATGGCTGACTGTGGTTCAAGTCCTGGACTCAGAGGTTTGAAACTCATGCCAGATTTGTGTACAAGTGTGCCCAAAATCCCGAGAAGAGAATGGAAGAAAAGGGATTGTGGCGTGGCCAACCCCCAGGGGGGGATTTCTCGTTTTCTGTCTTTGTCTCTCCGGCGAGCACATGCACCCTATAGCAAAAAATCTCTTAAAAAAAAAAAGTAACTAAAAAGTTTAAAATATCAGTGCCTGTTTCCCACCAAAGATTTCTGAGTCATTAGACTGGTACCGGGGAAGCGTGGGCACTTCCTAGGAGTACCCCCATACTGTGCAGCCTGTTACCTGGGATGACGTAGCAAACTACTAGCGGTTAGCCCTTCTCACGTGCCGGCCCGACACTGATAACAACGGTCGCTAACGCACATCTGTGGGCCAGGCACTAAGCTGGGCGTTTGACATGGATTAGCCTATTCTGTCATCAGGAGTTCCCATCCCCGTTTTCCACATGAGGGTAACGACTCAGAGAGGTTCAGCAATTGACTGAAGGGTCACACAGCTAACTAGTGAAGGTCAAGCCAGGCTGTGACCCGATGGATGAAGGCCCAGCCTCGCTGGCACCGACAGCAGAGCATACTAAACTGCAGTCCTGGAGGCCGCGTGGCCCACTGTGGGTTTGGCTCCCGAGGCTATCTGAAACATAGTGGGTTTGTGCGAGCCCCACAGCGAGACTGGCTGGAGAGCTGCTGGAAGGGGATCGCGGCGTGATGAGACCCTGTCGGGGTGCAGGTCTCTGCCTCTGCCTCTGTCTCTCTCTCGAAATAAAATAAAATAAAGCTATCACAGCGTGGTGATGGGGGACGGAACATTTTTCATCAAACATCACAACAATAAAGTAAACAGGAAAGGAGGGTGGGGATGTAAAAGAGGGGGAAAGAGAGTGAAGAAGGAAAAGGTGGTTTCCGTCGAAACCAGCAGGGGGCAGCAGTGCGCACCCAGTGGCCCCAACCTGGGCCCCCAGCACCCTCAGCTTTCCCAGCAGGCGCAGCCATTACTGGGCTCTACCCTTCTGGGAGGAAAAAACAGTCAAGTGTTGGGCCAGCCAGTGGCAGGGTGGTTAAGAAAATGGGATCCTCACATGGCCAACTGCTCGGTTCGAGTCCTGGACCTGGTAGCTTGAAGAACATGCCAGGGGCATGTGCGTGTGTCCCTAAAATCCCAAGAGGAGGATGGAGGAGAAGGGTCACAGCATGGCCATACTCCCTAGGGAGTGATTTCTCACTCTCTCTCTCTGTCTCTCTCTGGTGAGCACACGTACCATGAAGCAATAAATAAATAAATTTTAATAAACTAATTTTTAAAATTTTAACTTTATTTATTCTAATTTGACTAGAAAGGAATAGAGTGAGAGAAAGAGCGAGAGAGAAAGTGAGAAAGCCACCAGGTCCAGGACTCGAACCATGGTCTGCCATGTGGGAGTCCAGTGCCCTTAATCACCATGCCACCTACCGACCCCATTAATAAACTAAACTTAAAAAAGGAAACACGGGACCAGCAGATGGTGTGGTGGTTAAGGCGCTGGACACTCCCACATGGCTGACTTCGAGTCCCAGACCTGGTGGCTAACTTTCTCACTTTCCCTCTTTCTCTCTCTGGTCAAATTTAAATAAAATAAATAAATTAAATTAAATAATTATTTTTAAAAAAGGAAAAACAGACAAGTCTTTGCCCCACCTGAGTCTAACATTTTGCCTACCTCCAGAATGTTTTTTTTTTTTTTTTTTTGGGGTTTTTTTCCGCCAGACAGACAGAGAGAGACAGAAAGCAAGAAATCACCCCCCAGGGGGGACGACCACACCGCAATCCTTTCTCCTCCATTCTCCTCTTGGGATCTTGGGCACGCACACACACGCACGCACCCGGTGTGAATTTTAAGCCACCAGGTCCGGGACGCAAACCGCGGTCGACTACATGGGAGTCCAGTGACATAGCCATTACGCTAACTGCTGGTCCCACCTCCAGAGTGTTTAAAAACAAACAAAAACCCAGTGGTGCAGTCTCTTTGGAACCAGACTGACCATGAATTCCTTCCTTCGCTCATTCACTCAACAGATGTTGACGTCTTCTAGGAGCCAAGTGTGGTTCCCGCATGGAGATACAGCAGTGAACACGAGATGTTTCCACCCCGTGGGGTTCATAGTGGGGGGAGACAACTCACCAAATAAATCAGCAAAATTCAGAGCACATGAGACGTGCGAAGTGCTTAAGTAGGGTGACTAGCCAGCTCAGACTCTCAGAGTTCTTTTATTTTAAATTATTTTATTTAACTTTATTCATGTATTTACTTATTTTAATTTGACCAGAGAGGGACGGAGAGAGAGGAGAAAGTGAGAAAGCAAGGCCCCAGGTCTGAAACTCAATCCATGCTCAGCCATGGAGGCAGAGAGACAGAAGGTGGGAAATCACCCCCAGGAAGGATGGCCACACCGCTCTCCCTTCTCCATCCTCCTGGGGATTTTGGTCATGCACGCACATGTGCCCGGCGTGAGTTTTAAGCTGTGAGGTTTGGGATTTGAACCACAGTTGACTATGTGGGAGTCCAGCAACGTAACCATTACACCATCAGCTGGGCCTGCCTGGTTTGTTTTGGGTAGGGTGAACTGGGGCCAGCAGATGGCATAGTGGGTACATTGCTGGATTCCCACATGGCCCACCATGCTTCGAGTCCCAGACCTGGTGGCTTCAAAATCACGCCGAGCGCATGCGCATGTGTGCCCACGATCCCAGGAGAATAGAGGAGACAGGATTACAGCCTGGCCATCCTCCCTGGGGGGCGACATCTCACTTTCCCTCTCACTGCCTGTCTCTTTCCAGCGAGTGCATGCACCCTATGGCAAAAACTTCTCAAATAAATTTTAAAAAGAAACAAAAAGGTAGAGTGGACAAGCTTCCCCTGCGGAGAGAATGTGGTGGGAGGGAGGAGGGATCCAAAGGTGGACAGGCCTGGCCTGAGCGCATGGGGGACGAGCGGCCACCGACACGCGAGAGGACGTGGAAAGACGGGCAGCAAACAGCAGCAGCGAGCGGGAGCTAGCGGGGTGCCCGCTCACAGCCCTCTGCGCGTATGCGGGACTCTAACCGGGTGCGTGCAGCATCCGAACTGCACCTCTGACCCCTAGTTCGAATTCTGAAAGTAGACCCCACAGAAATAGGCCAGTGTGACAAGACTCGCGTGCGAGCAGTGCCCTGCGCGTCGTTTATAACAGAGCCCACGCTGGAAATTGCGTTCACGTTCTCATTAAATACACTCCTGCCCGTCACAGGGGAACTCATTAGGTGACGTCTGATGAATTTACGTGATGGAGAGCCTTGCAACTCTCCAACAGGAAGTCCTAGACCCCAGGCCCACCCCATAGTGCAGTGGTTAAATACTGCGCAGGGAAAACCAGATTCCATATGGCTTACCAGGGTTTGAGTCCCAGTCCTGGTGACTTGGAAAACATGTGTGTTCTGGGGCCAGCAGGTGGCAGGGTGGTTAAGGTACTGGATTCCCACATGACTGACTGCAAACCTAGTCCCAGACCCAGTGGCTTGAAAAATCACTCTGGGTGCGTGTGCGTGCTTGCTCAAAATCCTGAGAGGACGAGGAGAAGGGATTGCTGCGTGGCCATCCCCCGGGGGTGATTTCTCACTTTCCCTCTCACCCTCTCTCTCTCTGGTGAGTGCATGTGCCCTATGACAAGAGCCTAAAAAGGGCAGGTCCCTTAGGACAAAAGCTAAAAAAAAAAAAAAAAAAAAAAAAGTGCTCAGGAACCTGACAGGATGGAGAATTGAAGAAGAAAGGATTGGATGAGCGGCCTCACTGGAGGTTCCTTTGCCTCTCTCTCGCTCTCTCACTCTCTCACTCTCTCTCTTCCTCTCTCCCGTGTGTGTATACACACCCTCTGACATTAAAACAACAAAAAAAGAAGAAACCTTAGACCTCAGTGTACCGACATGGAAAGATCCCTGTGCTATGTTAAGTGAACCATAATTATGGAAGGAGCTAACATTTTTTGGAAATATTTGCTATAGAGCGTGTGCACTCTCCGAAGAGACAGAGAGAGAC